TACAGACATCTGAACAGCACAGGGGGAACAAACAGAGGTACACAAAAATATTTAGTTCTTCATCATCCATCCATACGTTTATGAAGTCAAATGTGACAAGACTTCAGAACTTTATGTTTCTAAAAGCTGAATCTAACTTTAAGAAACTGTATATTACTTGAGTGTTGCCTCGATATTCATCCCCGTTGGTATTCTTTCTGTTTTATTGTCAACCTGAAATTTAAATGGATTTTCAATTTATATATGGAGCTACTCAAAATGTGTGCATATGTATTCACCTAACCCTTCAGAAGCCACGTACTCAGGCCATAAGGTTCACCTGTGGGCGATCCGAGTGTCAGGTGACCTCAGTGTGTACAAGTGCTGGTCATAAAATTAGAATATCATGAAAAAGTTTATTTATTTCAGTAATTCCACTCAAAAAGTGAAACTTGTATATTATATTCATTCATTACACACAGACTGATATATTTCAAATGTTTATTTCTTTTAAGGTTGATGATTAAAACTGACAACTAATGAAAACCCCAAATTCAGAATCTCAGAAAATTTGAATATTACATAAGACCAATAAAAAAAATGATTTTTTATAAATGTTGGCCAACAGAAAAGTATGAACATGAAAAGTATGAACATGAAAAGTATGAACATGAAAAGTATGAACATGAAAAGTATGAGCATGTACCGCATCAATACTTAGTTTTGGCTCCTTTTGCCTGGATTATTGCATCAATGCAGCGTGGCTTGGAGTGGATCAGTCTGTGTCTCTGCTCAGGTGTTCTGAGCCCAGGTTGCTCTGATCGTGGCCTTCAGCTCTTCTGAATTGTTGGCTCAGGTGTGTCACATCTTCCTCTTCACAATACTCCATAGATTTTCTATGGGGTTAATGTCAGGTGAGTTTGCTGGCCAATTAAGAACAGGGAAACCATGGTCCTTAAAACCAGATACTGGTAACTTTGGCACTGTGTGCAGGTGCCAAGTCCTGTTGGAAAATGAAACCTGCATCTCCATAAAGTTGGTCAGCAGCAAGAAGCATGACGTGCTCTAAAACTTCTGGTAGACGGCTGTGTTGACCTTGGACCTCAGAAAACACAGTGGACCAACACCAGCAGATGACATGGCACCCCAAACCATCACTGACTGTGGAAACTTGACACTGGACCTCAAGCAACATGGATTCTGTGTCTCCTCTCTTCCTCCAGACTCTGGGACCTTGATTTCCAAAGGAAATGCAAAATTTACTTTAACCAGAGAACATAACTTTGGACCACTCAGCAGCAGTCCCAGGTGAGATGCTTCTGACGCTGTCACTTGTTCAAGAGTCGCTGGACACCAGGAATGCGACAGCTGAACCCCTTGTCTTGCATACGTCTGTGTGTGGTGGTTCTTGAAGCACTGACTCCAGCTGCAGTCCACTCTTTGTGAATCTCCCCCACATATTGAAATGGGTTTTGTTTCACAATCCTCTCCAGGGGGCGTTTATCCCTATTGCTTGTACACTTTTTTTTACCACATCTTTTCCTTGCCTTCACCTCTCTATTAATGTGCTTGGACACAGAGCTCTGTGAACAGCCAGCCTCTTTAGTAATGACCTTTTGTGTCTTGCCCTCCTTGTGCAATGGTCGTCTTTGGACAACTGTCAAGTCAGCAGTTTTCCCCACGATTGTGTAGCCAACAGAAATAGACTGAGAAACCAGTTAAAGGCCTT